GTGTAATTCGGCAATTTGCCCAGCAAGAACTTGCTGGTTGGCTGCAAGTTCCTTTAGTAGCGCGGCAAGATCTGGTGTAGCAGCAATGATGGTACCCGGAGCGGCAGACTGAGTTGTATCCGGAATGCCGGTAGCATTGATGGTAGTAGCCTTCCTTCCAGGGAGTCCTAAGAACTAACGACGGCACACAGCCTCTACATGGCCATTGAGGCCACAGTGTCGACAGATGTCCCGTTCATGGTGGCCATCGGCCTTGCGATGTTCCTTAGATCCACATCCATAGCATCGTCCTATCATGAAGCGACGAAAGGCATCAGGAGATCGAGTGGTGGTGGCATCAATGTCCATAGCATTTGGGTCTTGAGTAGGCGCAGTGAATGGGGTCGCAACAGTGGTGGGTCTAAAGTTGGTCAGGATTCCATCATCGACCAGTTTCTTTCCTTGCTCCCACGCTCGAGTAATTTGTTGGTTGTCTACGTCGATGGCTGCTTCAATCAGTTCCTGAAGGGAGCCAGTGGGGCGGGTTGTGAATACAAGACCATCTTTTACTCGATCTGCAAGGTGATCGTAGAACCGGTCTTGCAAGTCTTTGTCTGAGTAGCCAGTGCGGTCTGCATACTGTTGGAAGGTAGAGGCATAGGTTCCCACCGTGGTCCTATTCTGGTAGAGCCGTTTAAGGAGCTGCTTGGCATCGGCCGAGGCATCTGTGGTCTCAAAACGTGTTTTGAAAGTTGTAACAAATTCTTCCCATGTATCGTATGGGAAAGGTACTCCTGAGCCAGTTATACTTGATCTATTAATTGTTTCGGAGATAGGAGTGGCCCAGATAGCTGCATCCCCCTCAAGGTATGTAATGGCGGATGTGATTTTCTTTTTATGATCCGGGGAGAGAGCAGGGATAGAGCTGGCCCACAGCTCAAAGGCAGCTAGGAAGCGCCGGGCATCTTCTCCTCGCTTTCCATTGTAGTTCTGTGGCTTGCCAACACTTTTGGTAGTGCTGAGGCCACTTACTAGCTCAGAGACCACATCTTGGAGCTTAGCCTGGTTTTTTGTAAGTTCTGTAATAGCGTCTCGAACATCCTGTGCTGAGGACATGTCTTCTTCAGGGATTGATTGTATTTCGATATCGGGGTCAGCTGTGGTCTCAGTGACAGCAGGAGCTAATGGTTCCGCAGATGCTAGCGGAGGTGCAGGAGTGGAAGTAGTAGGAGTACTGATTCGTCCTACCCTGGCAGGTGGTGCTGGTCTGTGGATGGGTTGGTAACGGTCGGTCGGACTTGCGTCAAATGTGTTCTCGTATCGATTAGGGCACGGTTGTCTGGAGCAGGGTTCCCACTCTTCTTCTTCAGCGTCCCAGTAGCAAGTGGTGTTAGTTGCAGTATCATGCGCGTGAAAGTGGTTGGAGCAATCAATGTTGACTCCGAAGGTAGACGTGGTGGGTGCCTTGTAAGATCAGCTCACCAAGCTGATGGTACAAGTAGAAGATCTCGACCTAATGTCGCGACGAGGCAGGAAGCGGGAGGCGGGAGGTCTGGATACGCCTAAGAGTGACTGTAGCAGAGCGAAGAAGTACAGAAACAAGCACAAAGCACAGATAGGAGAAATAATGATCTCAAACAATCAGTGGGATAGCGTCAGAGGCCAATCACACCAGTAATCAAAAGGGAATCTAGTTGCCCAATGACCAAGTTAGATAGGTAGTATCTAAAAGGATACAAGTACTTGCCTAGTTGCCCAATGACCAAGAGGTCGAGATGGGGAACTAGGGCCTGTCTACTGTCCTTTATATACTACTCTTGTCTAATGAGTAAGCGATTGTAAATAACAATGCAATATAGAACAAGAGTGAGGAATCAATATATATGAGTAATAATGAGTCGATAATGAACCATAATGAACTAATCGATGAATAAGGATGAGTTGTATGGAAGCGTACGGAAACAAATGGAACTAATGGGATGATCATGTGATGAAGTACAATAAACATGTGAAAACAGATTGATGGGAACACACCGCGCTGATGGCGCATCAAAGGGCGCATCATGAGACTTTATGACATTAGCTCTTCTCTAAGTCTTCAGGCTCAACGCCTTGGAGTACGTTCTACTTGACCTTAGGACTTGAACGTTCTCTGGTCCGCTCCACGTCATCGGCGTTACCGCCGCTCCGACTTGGCTGCTACTTAGCTCCTCCCTCTATACTCTCGATCTCCGGGGACTAACGGCGTAACGGTGGTGTTGTTAATAACTTCACTACTGTCCCACTCGTCTTCCGCACTTACACACCTTGTGGCCTTGGCACGGTTTCACGGTGTACATGATCTTAACAGTCTGCAAACTTACAATATATTTATAGCAAACTTGATATTAGTTTTTTAAGCTAAATATTTATGGGAAATTTACTATATCTTTTGCTAAAAATATTCAAAAAGTTGACTGTAAGTATTGCTACTTACAGCAATCTTATAGGATGCAAAAAAAATATATGCCCTTACATAAATTCCATGTAAGAGTCAAAACTTATTGTAAACTTTTGAAAGTTTTCGGAAATTATAAGTTTACTGTAATATCACTAAAAGTCACGTGATTTGAGGGCTTTTCCGCCCAGTGTAGATTTGCCGTCTCGTCTGTTCCCGGAATTATGGGCGGTACTATGGTTCACAGCCTGAGGGTACTTCCGATTTCTTGAATATTGCGAATAATATCTTAAATTTTTGAGTAAATAAAAGTCTGAGTAGACAGTCTTATTTAGAATCATGTTAAGCTTGTCTTTTGTCTTACATGTTAAAGTAGATAAGGCATAAACAGAGCGTCGGACCATGACCGAGGAAAAACAGGGTACCTCTGCATCTTGGGTCACACTGAGTCACATCAATGCCGCTGCTCGGCACTCTGGCACACTTGGCCATTTGATGCCGGGTTCAGGCAGAACTCGTGTTGATCAGTACATCGAACTTAAGTAGATTGAGGATAATAAATGATTCAAGCAATTAATTTCATACATAAAAACTCTGAAATGCAAAAGTTACTTTGGATCATCTACATTGTGATGGGGAACAGGGCGAGGATGAGGCTGCAAAACTGAGCTACTAAAAGTTGTCGGTGACAGTGATGATGAGCTGTGAGGTAGTGGTGGGGGAACTGAGTAGATAGCAGTAGTAAATTGAGATGGTGACTAGTTTTCGGATGCAACCGGATGGTAATGATGTGCATGGAGAGGAAGTGGCATTTGTTGCAATTGACCAAAGAAGGGCGGAGAGGAGAGAGATAAGTGATACGTGGACAGTGAATATGATGATGGACCTGGTGCGAACAATGATGGACCTGGTGCGAACAATGATGGACCTGGTGCGGATGATGATGGACCTGGTGCGAATGATGATGGACCCAGTGAGAATGAAGATGGACCCAATGAAAATGAAGATGGTTCTGGTGATGGAGACCGTTGAGAAGGAGGAAGTAGACGACAGGAAGACGGGCCTGGATGAGCATCGTTTGGTGGGTCTTTACGCTTGTGCATTCGTTCAAAGAGACCAATATAACGAGGATGCTTTTTCAGCTCTGGGTGAGCATCAAAATGAGCATGAAGGCAAACACAAAGAGCGTCCTGTGTCGCATCCTTCAATGGAACCCCCAGAGAGAAAGCAATGTCGACCAAAGCTTTTTTACTCATCGAGTTCAGGCTCCCGGAAAACTCTATGCCCAACCTTTCTTGCTCAGCATGTCGAATGGCATCAACCTTTTCTGCTTCAGCTTTCTGCATCTCCCTCTCAGCCTCAACCTTCTGCATTTGCACCTTCTTTGCAGCATCCTGTTCTATCTCCTTCCTCACTTCCCTTGACGTGAGCACCTGCGCAGAAGTCGGGACCCTTTTCGATGATTCCTTCTTTTTGAGCTTGGCATTGTATTGATGTTTATAGACTGCAAGTTGTTGGCCGGCGAAAACAGCGTGAGCTTGAGCAGCGTCACACTGAGCTTTGAAAGAAGCTGACTCTAGTTGGAGACCAGCATTCTCCCACTCGAGATTGGCAATTTTGTGTCGAAGCCGGGCAAGTTCTTCTGACCGTGCAGATGAGGCAGTAGAAAGTTACTGTACAGAAGAGGGGGTCGAAGATTGAAGTGACAGTGAAGAAGACATGGCAGAGAGTTGGGAGGTCTGAGAACATGTATGCCGCCATTCGAGTTGCAACGTGGCAGAGAGTTGGGAGGTCTGAGAACGTGTATACCGCCATTGGAGTTGCGTGGAGGTAGCCGACTGAGAAGCATCATCTGATGCGAATTCCAAATCTGATTCTAATTCTGAGGAATTAGAATCTCCATAGCTTTCATCGCCTTCATCGCCTTCTTCACCTTCTTCACCTTGTTTGCCTCCTTCCAACATGATCAAGGCCTCAGCATTGAACAATGCATCTTCCGATGACATATCGGGAGCTCGCGGCAATTGTCTAGGGAAGGAATCAGGGAGGTGAACTTTGGTTGAAGAAGCAATGGAAGGAGCAAAATCCACGTGAGTAAAGACATCAGGATTGAATGGATTAATTCCTGATTTTCGCCACACTTGCAGAATGGTTGACTCCTTGAATGCAGTCATTCGGCATTGCCAATACTCCTTCACAACATTGCGCGATGACATTGGCTCCCCAGTTTCTTCAAGGATCTCATCACAACGGTTAAACCAGGCTGCTTGGAGAGGTCCGAAATAGCCAACATTTAGTGGTTGGAGGCGATGGGTAGTATGCGAGGAAGGACATACCAGGATAATATTATTCTCAAGGGCAAGATCTACCCATTCTTTACTGATATGAGACTGATGACCATCAAACAACAGGACTATGGGTTTATTGGAAAGGCCGTTTGCCTCCCTCCGCGCAGTTGCTTGAGGTACAAAGTTCTGTTTGAACCATTGGAAACTGATCTCATTGTCAGTCCAGCCATTTTCCAAAGTAGCTAACCTGTATCGAAGTGATAATAGATTCAAGCTAGAGAATTAAGGTATGCTTACAAGATTTCATCATCAACAGCTGCCCACTCATCATACATTGTCTTTCCAGAAAACACAAAACATGGTTTGATTGGAGCGGTACCATCTGCACAAACACAGTCGACTATGGTCACTAGCTCGAGCTTGTCGCTGTGCATGCAATACATTTTCTGATCCTTGCGTGAAAAGAAGTATCATTGCTGTGAGTTCTTCCGAACTCCTCCCATCTGTATACCTTTCTCATCTACGTTGTACACCAACTCCCAAGGCACTTCTCCCTTCTTCAATATGTTCATCAGGAAAAACGTCCACTGATAATGTTTGGTAATTCCCATTAACATGCGTATATTCATGATATTTTTTGAAGTTTCGGGCCATAGCTTAATTTGCATAATTTCAGTAATTTTCCAGCCCTAGTTGTGAATCCTCGTAATTTACAACAGTTACTATTGGCTTCTGTAAAGGATAGATTAAATTAGAATACCTTTCAGACGATGTTTGGTTTCTTTCGGAAAGTGTAGAGTAAAGCAGAGTGCCTAACGTAGAACCTAAAACAAAGCATCATAAGATTCAAATAGTATATCTATCTATACTGATTGTATTCTTGCGATATTTGGACAATCATGTATTAACGAAACAATAGCATTGAGTTAATTATACCATATTAGTTAGGATAGTACGGTAGGACAAATGCAAGGAATTAAAAACAAGGGTATGACACGATAGGATAAGGAGAGACTTGTAAGACAAAATATGTATCAGGCGAAATTAGAGCGTGGAATCAATCCTGCTTCCTTCATTGGTAGCGTCTGCAGCTGTAACAGGCTGCTTGTTGACCTTATTGGAAGCTTGAGCAGGCGGGTTGCCATCATGGTTGCCATTTCCGTTGTAGTCATCATCATCCTGTTCGATGGCAGACCAGTCAATGGTATCATAAACTTGTTGGTTGGTCATGCTGTGCATTGACGACACAGCACCACTTGAGAAACGGAATTAGTTACGATGAGCAATGAGGTGTAAGAAAGCTCACGATGACTCGATATAGAGATTATGCATGAGTCGATGGTATTTCATGCGATTTCTTTTCTGAATTCCGTCGAGAATTTCAAGGGACAACTTCCAAACTCCATCAAGTTCCTTAGTCGGGAAGTTGTCCTTGATGCCACTGGAGAAATCTTGGATACAGGCGTGGATCTGAGTGGTTGTAAGACATATGATTACAAATTATGAACAGAAACGCACCGCTGTGCTTGCAAGTGCAACCAAAGCTTTCGGGACTTCCAACTCATTGGGCTTCTCTTGAATTGACAAAACAAACACGTCACTGTATCGCTTGATGATACCACTATAGTATGTAGAAGAGAAAAAAGCGGCACCCATGTACCCCGCAAATACTGGGTGCTCGAAAGGCCGACTGTAATCATACTTGTACCTTTCATCCTATAATGTGACAAGACATGAATTTTGGTGTTTTAGTAAAATGATATCGTGCCACGTACCGAGATACTGGGTGTTTGAGGATAGAAATATGTGCGCCTCTGCACCAGATTGATTGCTGGGGCAGTGCCACTAGCGTGAGAGAGGTTGAAAGCCCCAAGTACGACGGAGAAGTGGTCCTTTAGTTGCGATCTTTCGGTCCCAATACGGTGACTGACCTGGAAGAAAGTGTGAGGATTGACTATGACAAGCTAACAATGACGTACATAGGATATCAGCGGCTTAGCATACGCATTGTTTTCACCATGTTCCAAACGGTCACATACATCATATTCACCATCAAATCCTTCGTCAGTTGCTACTCGAATGAGTGCGGCGTAGCCAATCTGTTTTAAGGATGCTGAACCAACCGGTGAAAAGGTGGTATCGAGGAGTATGTTGCGTTTGCCAAGAGTAATGGCTTTTTCAATTACACTCAACATAACTGCTGGTTGGCCAGAAAGGGGACCGAGAGTGAAAGTACGATTATGAGAAATAGTATTGATTTTGGTGCGTTCTTTCCACTTCAGCTCGGATTTGGAATCTGACACAGATGTAGAAGTAGCTGTTCTAGGACCTTGAACTGCTTGGGAAGTAGGAAGCACCGTTTCTGAAACTCGAGGAAGCTAGAAGTAAATATTGAGTGAGTAATTATGCGTACTCAAAATATCACGTACCTCAAATTCGAGCTTTTGTGACCTTCGACTAGCCATAGCCTGAGTGCAATACCAGTTCAAGATGTGAAATCTCAATAGTATTTGTTCACGTACTCTCGAAATAACCAGCCGTTGTTTTCCTGAGTTGCCATGGGGATGCGAGAGGGACCTGCGACTTGGAGTGGGTTCCATAAGTTCAGGCTCGCCATCAATCTCCATATCTGACAACTGTCTCTCCTCGAAGAAGATAGAGTCATCGTCATAACTGGCATTAGAATGAGAGCCTGTAGAACATTCAGAAAATCAGAATGATACACATGATCAATTGTAAATGCTAATTCGCACGTACGTTCAGTGTTTCCTTCTTCCTCCGTGCCATTTGTGAACACAGCGCCCTGAAAATGTTTCATGAATGAGAATCTAGAGCTCCGTGTATGATTACCTCTTCTGCTAAGTGTTGACCTGCTCCCAAATCATCTTGAGGATTGTCCATGGAAGCATCAGAACCAAGAGCCGGGTCATTGGAATCATTGCCAGAGCTAGATTCAGATTCATCGTCGTCCTCTTGCAGATACTGACTACCATGATGCAAAGTTACTGGAGCGATCTTTGCTTTTTTTCTAGGAGGCGCCTCTGAAGAAATATGAGTAAGCTTGTGTCATCATCGAAGTAATAATCCACCTTCTGCAGACTCTACGCCAGTATCATCGGCATTGATGTCAATATAAACTGGTCCATGCTTAATGGCTATAGAATGGTGAGGGACACACGAGTTGTTCACAGAAATAGAAACACGAACATTTTCTTGTAGATGGCTTTGGTACTGGAACTACAACAGGCCTTTTGGTCTTCCTTTGCCGCAGTATTGCTACACAGAATATCAATCATTATTCGAAAAGGAAGTCCAGTACGACTCACCACTCCTAGGTGGGTCAACTCTCTGCCTTGGCTGGGAATCCTTTTTTTGTAAGCTCATAGGTGTAGCTTTCTGTGTTCAAGCTCGAGTTTGAGGCCGGGTGACAGGAGTTATGGAATTCCCTTGACCAGGTGTTCTCGTTGGGTCTGAATTCGCTGGCGCATAATTTTGAGGTAAGTCAGCCTGTGAAACTCTGCCCTTACGGCTAGACATTGTAAATGATTTGGATATATGAAAGAAAAGTAAGACAAAAGGAGAATGAAAAGAAGGAAAGAAAGTGAGTAACAAGCAAATTCATTTTGAACATGCACTGCTCGGTTTTGAAGCGGCGGCATGTACTTTAGGGCACCGGCTGAACGAAAAATTTCCTCTGTTTACCACCTTTACTTCATATAATGTCTACTGGTGCAGAATTGGACCCCTCCACATACAAATGTTCAGGATGTAGTCGTCAATTTTCACGTGCATCATACTTCATTCAGCATCTTGAGAAGACTTCAAAGCCTCAGTGCATGGCTGCGCATGAGGACTTGAAGAAAACTATCCACCACAGCCGGTTTATGCCTCAGAAGACCCCTCCTACGTATCGTTCTCCTGAACTATCCAAAATCAGCCCTTCTGCTCCTTCAGTTCCTCCTCTAGATACAGAGCATGATCTCTATGTTACCACTCCGCAATCTGTCAGTGATTTCTATGGCCACGACTATTCCGACGAAGATTTTCCGGGATTCGATGAAGATTACAATGGCATGGGAGGAGATATAGATAATGACTCTGAAGATGAAGAACAGCTTCCACCTGAGCTCGAAGATGCTTGGGAGCTTCCTCGGGTACCCGCTTCTAGTGCTGAACATAATGTAGATGTGGATGCCATTCCCACTCTATCAACCGAAAGATCATTTCTCCGAGACCTGCCTTCACACCGCGATGGCATTCATGTCGAAAGTTTTGGAGGTCAGGCGGGAGCACCTGTCAAGGGCAGGAATTCACGCAATCCAGTCCTTTATAGTTCTCGAGATGGGTTTTTGCAGTATAGATCCCATATTCCACATAAAGGTGAAAATCCTTGGTCACCGTTTGCCTCACAGATGGACTGGGAAGTGGCGAAATGGGCGAAAACACGGGGAACTGGATCGACTGCTTTCAGCGACTTGCTTGCTGTTGACGGTGTATGTTCTTTATTGTCATCTCCCCTTCGCTATGACTAAGTTGTTGAATTCTACAGGTATACAAAGCATTAGGACTTTCATACTGTAATAGTGCAGAGCTTAATCATATTATTGATACGGAAATCCCTGCTCGGAGGCCTGCATTTACACGTAAAGAGGTTGTGATCGGTGGAGAAGCCTTTGACTTATATAAACGACCTATTGAGGACTGTATACGCGCACTCTATGGCTCCCCAGATCATGCGCGCTATCTCTGTGTTTCTCCTGAACGACATTACTCCGATGCAAACAAGACTCAGAGGCTTTATCATGACATGCACACCGGGAAGTGGTGGTGGAATACTCAGGTATGACATGCCATTTAATCATTGTTCGTATGATAATGTTTGCCATCCTTACAGGTCCAGCTCGAGCAAGATAAACCTGGTGCTACTATTGTTCCAGTCATCATTTCCAGTGACAAAACTCAAATCACACTTTTTCGAAATAAGTCTGCGTACCCTGTATATCTTACCATCGGGAATCTCCCTAAGGAAGTTCGACGAAAACCCTCACAGCAGGCCCAAATTCTCCTCGCTTATCTTCCTACCACCCGTCTACAGCACCTACCTACTAAGGCAGCCCGGAGGCGCGCTGTGTCGAATCTCTTTCATGCATGCATGGGGAGTATCCTCGCACCTCTGAAAAGTGCAGGCATTGACGGAATTATCATGACCAGTGGTGACGGTGTCAGGCGGCGGTGTCACCCGATCCTCGCTGCTTATATTGGAGATTATCCCGAACAGATGCTTGTTTCATGTGGGTACTATGGACGCAGTCCAATCTGCATGGTGGCGAAGCATGAGCTGGGAGAATACCCTTGTACAGCAGAGTACCGTGATGCAATTCAAGCTATCGAAGTGGCCCACTTAATTGGTACAGATGAATGGGCTCAAAGTTGTGCGGCTGCCAACATGAAACCTGTCCAACATCCTTTTTGGGAAGATCTTCCCTATACCGACATTTTCTGTTCCATCACTCCCGACCTCCTTCACCAGCTATACCAAGGGGTTATGAAACACTTGATTAAGTGGATTACTGCTATCGTTGGAGCGGGAGAAGTTGATGCGCGAGTACGTCGATTACCAGCAAAGCATGGCATGCGTCATTTCCACAAGGGAATCACAACACTTTCCCGTGTCAGTGGTACCGAACACAAGCAGATGTGTATGTTTCTTCTCAGCCTTGTCATTGACGTGCCAAGGCTGGCGCCAGCAAAGTCCCGCAGATTGATCACAGCTACCCGTTCATTACTGGATTTCCTCTACATGTCTAGCTTTCCCATTCACAGTGACGAATCTCTTACCTCTGTCGATGCCGCTCTTGCTCTATTTCATGAGAATAAAGATATTTTCATTGAGCTTGGTGCCCGAGAGCACTTTAACATCCCCAAAATCCATTTTCTATGTCACTATGTCCGCGCTTTCAAACTATTTGGCACATCGGACAACTATAATACAGAAGCAACAGAGCGTCTTCACATTGACTTTGCAAAAGATGCATATCGTGCTTCTAATCGCAAGGACGAGTACTCACAGATGACAAAATGGTTGGAGAGGCAAGAGAAAGTCAATCATCATGCGAGTTACATTGCGTGGCAACAGTCACAGCCACAACTTGACATTCCTTCTCCTACCACCATCTCAGGTGTACGATACGATTTTCCAGGATCTCAAAAAACGTTGCATGACATGCAGTGCCCACTTACACAACATTTCGCCAAATTTCCCACTGTGAAGACAGTATCAATCTCAAAACTTGAGGAAAGAAGCTTACTTGGTTACGGCGCCACTCAGTTTGAGTATGCTTTGAAACGGTTCATTTCCCAATTTCGCAATCCCGAATTTACTCCTGCTGAGGTCAACGAAATGGCATCATTTCTTTCTCTTCCGTTTCGTGGTGTGCCAGTTTGGCATAGGATGAAATTCCGAAACGAAGATTTATATGGCAAGAAGACTCTTGATGTTGTATCTGCCCATCCTCGTCGCCTCAATGCTCAGGGCCAGGTCCGCCAGACGTCCCAATTTGATGCTGCTCTGATCCGTGTTCAGAAGGATGATGACAATGGCAAGTTTTTGCAAGGTACGTGTTGTGTTCTGTTGTACCTGCACGTTCGCTCATGCACTCTATTTCAGGATGTCAGATAGGGCGTGTCCGGGCTATTTTCTCCCTCCCAAAGCAACACTTGAACCGACTGTTTCCCGCAAATGTGACTCCGCCTGTCCACCTTGCTTATGTTGAATGGTTCACTAAGTTCACGCAGAGGCCCGAACCATACTCTCTTCTTTACCATGTCAAGCCTCAATTTTGTAGAGATGGATCACGAGCAGTTTCTGTAGTTCCGGTTGATATGATCAAGCAGAGTGTTTGTTTGTATCCTAGGTGGGGTGGAACAGCACCTCCGCAATGGACACATGAGTCAGTACTTGACCAGTGTCCCTCCTTTTATCTGAGCCCATTTACAGATATACATATGTACTTCAACCTGTCGTAGTTACAAGTAATCAGAATTAGACTACGCAGTCCGGATTTCTTCTATTCACACGAGAGAGCGTTCCTACAACCTGTAGAAGCCTGTAGATTGCTCAAATATCTTCAGAACTGCACGATTCTTGCTAATATTATTTGTATTTGGCTGAACTACGCATGGACATCCTATTTTTTGCTTAGCTATAGACCCCTCGAGCTCTACGATGTTTTCGATATGGGCCTGATACGAGGTAAGAAGCGGCATGTCGGCAACAACCTTCTGTTCGATCCGGGTCCGAAGTTTACTGCTCCCAGCTTCCACCAGGCCGCAAACTTCATCAGAAATGCTGTCAGAAGCAACAGCTAAAACTGACTGTGGTATGTATGATTTGCATTACATTATGACTATAGACAGCTAAGAGTATTCAAAACTTCGAAAATGTTCTGTCATTATCTTAAATACTTGTAGTTGTTGCGTTATGTGAATTTTTGCAATCTTATTGAAATCTTACATGAACTTCCCAAACATTATCAGTGGACGTTTTTCCTGATGTTGTTGAGCTCCTTGAATTGTGAAGTTGAAAGCCTGCGCTCACTTGGGGTCTAAACCTGATCTGCGCGCTGACTTTATCAAGTCTCTGTATTTCTTCAGGAACTTTTGTATCCATGTATCTGAAACACTCGCTTCAGCTACCTTCATCCCCTTTGCCAACATGATTGCTTTTACCTTTGGTCGAAGGGTATGTGTTAAGATCATGTACACCGTGTAACCGTGCCAGAGGCCACAAGGTATCTAAGTGCGGGAGGTCGAGTGGGACAGTAGTGAAGTTATTAACAACACCGCCGTTACGCTGTTAGTCCCCAGAGACCGAAAGTACAGAAGGGAGGAGCTAAGTAGCAGCCAAGCCGGAGCGGCGGCAACGCCGGTGATGAGGAGCGAACCAAAGAACGTCTAAGTCCTAAGGTAGAGTAGAACATACTTCAAGGCGTTGAGTCCGAAGACTTAGAGAAGGGCTAAGTTGGGAAGAGAGATCTAAGTTGATAATTAAACTGAGGAACTACAGTAGCGTACAGGCAGTATTTATATCTACGGAACGGTGCATTGGTGCGGAGCGCCAGACTAACTACTAGGAGCTATACGAGTAGTACCTGCAGGGTAAAGTAAAAGACAATAAGGAGGGACTAGAACGAAAGGGTATGTGTAGCGAGAAAGAACAATAAGAGTGAGATTACAATAAACAGTGGATCTTCAGAATACCAAGTGGCGGAATAGAGGCCCGAGGCATGGACTTGACAGTACATTTGCAGATTGGCAGTCCTGTAAAGCTAAGAAAGCCTATCCAGTCAGCAAGGACACTCTGCTCAGCTTCGTTAAGGAGCATCTCCTTCTTGTGTGCTTTCTTCCTTGGCTGTATGCCTTTCAATCACTTTCAGAGAGTGTCATATGGGACGTTGAACCAAATCGAAGCTTTGCATGCATTGTACTTTGGATCAGTGGATATGAGAAAGCTCTCCTTTGCTTGCTGGATACAAGCCTCGACCTCATCGTTGACCTTCTGTGGCCTTTGTCTGGCACTTCGTAGATATTTTGGCTTGGTCATGTCCTTGGTGATGAGTCCAAGCCGTGAAAGGTAGAGGTTTGCCGAGGCTATGGCATGAGGCTGGATCAAACATTGTCATGTCGCATACCCTCCTCACTTTATGTGCTTGTTGAATCTCTATAACATATTGGATTGCTTTTAAATTTGCTATGCTAGCTGATGAGAACCTCTACTTAATACCCATGTCATTTCTACAGCTATCTACCAGCTCTTTGTATGGTTCCTGAGGCTTCAATCTAAAGTCACATTACAGTATTTTGGTCTTGTACATATGCATCCCCTCAATACAATCTATTTCGTATAGTACAGTATGTTTATAGAGAACCTAGAAAGTACTACATAAACAGTTTGAGAGCATTTATTGACCTAAAACATTCATAATATGAGATTTTCAAAAATGCGGAAGTACCCTGTTTACGGAAGTACCCTGTGAACCATAGTAGCACCATTCGAGATTGCAGTCGAGGTCACATCACCTTGTTTGCAAATCACCTTGCTTGCATAGGTCCTTTTCCATGTCAGTTTGTTTAGCGCACATGAAGATTTTACCACGCTGATATGCTGACTCTGGGCTATGCATAAAATGCTAATGCAAGCTTTAACACTCACACCAACACCAACACAAACCATCATCAAACACTAAGTTCAAGGGGGTTTATCATTGAAAAAGCAAGACAACACTGCAACTCTACAAATATCTACATCATGTGGGTATAATGTATAGGTTGAATAGTTTTTCTTCTCGAGATTCTATCAAACTCGGGCATGCTAAATCTTTCTTTGACTTTATCTGAACTGAACAAAACCTCTGATTTGTATTATACACTACAAGTACAATCCACAGAAAGAGTGTACACTACTCACAGCACTCTGACTGCTATTAACTCTGAAGCATAATGGTAATCTGTGACTTTGAACTTTCTTTCTTTCTATCTTTCTTAAACTCTAACTTGTTTAAAGTGAAAGTTAACACTGTATCATCTTTGTTTAAAGTGCACTTGTCACTATAGCCAGAAGCTACTAACCAACCAACCAAATCCTCTCAGAAGTGGGGGGGGAAGTGCTTGTTCTCATTCAGAGGCCAGCACCCTCCTTATATATCCTCAAAACAACCCTTGACAACTGATATCAATCATTGTAGCATGTGGAATTCTTGTAGCATGTGCTGATTTTGATGGAAATCATGCTGCATCTCGGAGTAGCATGTGGACCTGTTGTACCATGTGCTACCTTTGATGGAAATCATGCTGTACCTCGGAAGGCTTTCCGGATGAGGGACATAAGCTAAATCAATCCTAATATTCTCGGAATTAACTCCAGAGGTCCGGAATATTGTTATCTTTCAATCTTATCATTGAGCTCTATTGAAATGCTATACAAAGGTGAAGCTCGGAACACTTTAATTCTGCAGATATTGTCGTAGTCCAAGTCAAACACAAGTGTGGGTTTTAGTATTAGAGCTTTGTTACTTGGAAATACAACTGTATTATGCTATGAAGACCCACTTAAGTGTCATTCAGATGCAATCACTGTGTAGATCTGTGTAATTTCTCTGAATACAATGTACTGTCCAATCTCAGTATCACTGATAGTACTTTACAGTTGAAAATGCATAATTACTGCATTATAGACTCAAATAAAAATGGGTCATATCAACGCTTTCAAAGATCCTCTCCCTTATTCAGAAATACTTCAAAACAATCACACATGGTACTTCTCTGCAGCTTCCCACTGCCGTTGTCCTCCTTTGCCTATGGTATTTCTTCCAAAAACCGGCGCCTTCCCGTCACCATTGGTACAACTGGTTTGACTCCTTTGCATCTGGTACTTATCTCTTCTGTCCTCCATCTCCCTATACACCTAATAGTGTTTACACAGTGGACCAAGGATAGGGATTCATGACAAGGTACTGAGGGCACAAATGACAGACAATGGGCTTGACAGTAGCTAGCCTAGCTACAGCCATAGGGGAATGCTCATCTGCCAAGTCAAGCATGAACAAACCCGAAGTATTCAAGAGAAAAGATAGTGCTGAGGCACATCGTTTTCTGGCTCAGTTCCAAAACTGGGCATCTGAACAACCTGATCTCACCAAGAGTCAGGCAAAGTTTATCAAATCAGCCCTGGGTTTCTTCACTGAAAGTGCTGGTAATTGGGCAACTCCTCATTTGTTACATTTCAGTGCAGAAAATCCCCCCTTTTGGAGGAAGTTGGGAGGAGTTTTTGAAGGAATTTAGACAACACTTTGAGTCGGTGGACCCGGGTATGGAAGCCTGTAATACAATTAAATATCTCAAGCAGGGTAAGGCACAGACAGTTGAAGAATTCACTCAGAAATTCAAGGATATTGGAGATCAGACTGGGATGTCTGACATTGACTTACAGGAACGATTCTTCATGGCCCTACTTCCAGAGATCCAGCAACACCTTATCATTGTGAACATCGCCCAGGAAATTGCTCCAACTCTGAAAGAAGCAATTAAACAAGCAGTATTGGTGGACACCTTCCTGCATGACCCCACCATGACTGGACATATGTAAGACTTGGGTCAGAAATGGTCTTAAGGGTGGGTTTGGTATGAGAAGTTTATGTTGTAGCATGCTAGGAGCAAGCTGGAGCTCAAAGGGAGCTATGGGAACCGCAACCGAGGACAGGAATGACCTAGTAGTAGTTCAAGTTGCAAGATGTGACCCTTGAAGGGGTTCCTAGAAGGTCCAGGGAGGTCCCTAGGGCGTTAATGGAGGAAGGTGGAGGTAACAGGAACTAGTAGACGTAAGAGTGTTGCATAGTAGGAATTGTACTAGCTAGGAACGTCAATGTAGGATGGTTGTAGAACATAGTTGATGTGGGTTTCCAAACGTGAGAGCTCCCGATGGAGTATAAGCCCGGGAAGGAGGTCCTGGGAAGTGGGGGTAATGACTGACGTTGTCATGCCCTGACTGCAACCAGGCCCGTCCCAGGCTCGTCCCAGCACCAACCACATGCTCCCACACTTCCTATCTATCTCTGTACCTCCCCAAGACAGTACCACCACTCCCCTGATATAACCTTCCCATTACTCAAATGTCCTGACAACTTCCCCGACACGCAGATGGAACCCTCCTACTACCAACTCCATTAAGTATTAATCTCGATTACCTGCCTCATGTTCTCCAGATCCCCGGATGTTCCCTTGTTCACTTCCCATACCTATTTAAGTAGTCCCGCAAGGTCCCCAAGCCCCAGCTTGGTATATTTTGAACACACACCCTTTTGCATAGGTCCAGTCCCTGTCCCTTTGTACCTGCTAACCATACGGATTTCTCTTTACTCTCTGTTTCTCTATCTCTGTTTCTCTACTCTTATCTTTGTCTCTACGATTGTCTAAATGATTCAATACATGCTTTTACTTTACGTCTAAGCAACCCGAGTGAGTCTTCGAGCTCCCTTGACCAATACTAAAGCTCCCCAATGTCTACCATTTTGGTGAG